TTAAAGGAATAGTACACCCAAAACATGATTAGCCTTCATTTTCTACTCACCCCCATGCTGAACAACACTCTGGAGTACTTTTTTGATATCTCCCAGATCTCCAGATGCATTTGAGATATCAAAAAAGTACTCCAGAGTGTTGTTCAGCATGGGGGTGAGTAGAAAATGAAGGCTAATCATGTTTTGGGTGTACTATTCCTTTAAAGCAAACTATCTAAGCAACTTCCAAATTCTTTGTCTGTCCTTGATTTAATTCATAGATGCACAAATAAATAACTAAGGGGCTGAATATATATATATATATATGCGCCATATTTTTCAGATCTGTATTTGTAAAAGAACAAACAATAAAAATCCATGAAAACCATCCTTTCCTTCTAATGGTTCCATATAAAAAATTCTTAGAGAAAACTCTACTAACTAAACTGTGACCCAGTTTAAACCATTTTATATAACTATGTCTTGGAATTAGAGAAATAGAAACATATTTACTGAGGCAGCTCTCATAAATCGCTGGATCATCAGCAAATAGGGTAATAAGAATAAGTTCTCCTATCTAGAAAACCACTTCAGATGATGTAAGAGCAAGCTAAAATCAAACCAACACAAACGTCCCTTTCTGTATAATTCAAATGAAGACAGAGACTAATGACAGTGGATTTATTACTAACTGAGAGCTTGCCATTAAGCAGCTAAAGAGAAGTTTAAAGGTGAAACTTAATGTGATTTCTTAATGAATTCTACCGGAGCAGGAATCTCTGTGGATCTGCCCTCTGTTCCCTCCTTTTACCTTCCTGATAAAAACAGTCGTAGGGAGAATGACGTTTTACTCTGGAAGATAACTAAGTAATTAAATTAGCTTCTATAAAAAGTATGGGGCAGCTTTGCAGCTAAGAGCATCCAAAGAGAGGAGGAGAAATACTTTCTACTCAGCTGTGAGGATTTCTCTGCCTCCTGGGCTTTTAAGTTTCACTAAAAGAGCTGAAGCATCACCATCTAGGCTGTGATTTCAGCTAACGAGCACCAAGTGACCGCTCCACTGCTTTCCTAAGTAATCAATCGTCTCCATGGAGCAGGGATCATCCCCCTGCTTTTTCCTCCAGATGCTCAACAGGCTAAAAGAGGACGTCATCTTCATGAATCTCACCTCTGTGAGCAGCCATGGATGCTCCTGCGTCAGCCGCTGAAAGTCAGTTTCAGCTGTCACGTTGGCGTAGCGGAACCTATTCTGCACTGGAGCTGATGTACAGATGTACTTGTAGAGGAACTCCTTCCCCGTCTGCTCGGAAATGGCTTTGGCCGACATCACTGATCAAGATCTACCGGCCTGAAGGAGGCGAATGTTGAGAGGGGTGGATGGGAAAACAGATAAATGATGAGAGGTACAAGGAGGAATTGCAGAAAAAATAAGATTTTTTTAAGGCATTAACAGAACATTTATAAATATTTCCCTTAAAGAATAAGTGGTTCTTCTATGGATAGAATTACCTGAAATGTGTTTGATGGAAATATAATGAGGGCAGCTCAAACATTTTTAACTGTCATTTAAAAAAAAAACTTTAAAAAATGTGAACTCAGAAAAGGTTAAGAAGCAAAGTATCACTAGAAGAACACTCTGCCTCTGAAAAAGCAACATCTGATGCAGGATGATACAAATTCGGACTCTGCTGACGTCCATGAGATGTTGCAGAGATGTTACCACTCACCACAGCAACTACAGTACATTTGGAGACTACAACGTTTCATTTTCTCTGATAAAAATGAATCTTTGCAATTTCACTGATAAACATCAAAATGATTAAGCAAGTTTTTTCTGTGAAACAAAGAGCAAATAACAGTAAATCTCAATAACATTTAAAATACCTTCCAACTTTATTTATAAACCTGGATCTTTAACATTTTCTATCACACTTCAACCAGAACATTTAATCTATTTTATTGAGATTTTATGTGATGAAATTATACAAAGCAGTGCTTATACGTCAACATTTCACAGTAAATAGATATTAATAGAAAAAAAAAACCTCAGCTGTTTGATTTTAAACCTTCTGACAGTAGCTCTGGCTATGTGCACCTTTCCATCAAATTTAATCAGATTCGGTGTTTGGTCAAAGCTGGCTGCTGATGTCACCAAGATTCATACTGGGATGTTTCTTTAGGTGCAAATAAAATGTTCAATAGTCTCATTGTGGAGTGTTGGCCTAGTGGTTAGAGCAGTGCGCTTCTGCTCTGAGAAGGTTGCAAGTACCTGGTTTGATCCCCACAGCCTGCACTCTGTTTCCTGAGAAAAAAAAAAAACCCCCACTGGTCCCCGGGCGCCACACAATGGCAGCCTACTGCTCCCCAAGGGGATCGGTTAAATGCAGAGGTGAATTTCTCCAATCTGAGATCAATAAACATTAATATTATACCTGGTCCACATTTAGACCATGTTATTATACCTAACATGGTCTAAATGTGGCCGAGTCGTGGAGCATGGAGTTAGCCTGACGTAGTCC